GTAGCGCTAGTTACAAAGGGCACATGTTAAATGATTATTGGTCTAAAGGCCCGGACCTGAACAACAACTTACTAGCAGTTTTGCTGAGATTCAGGGGTGAGCAAGTAGCTCTAGTTGGTGACATCCGGAAGATGTTTCACTCCATTAGTATATCCTTAATTGATCAGCATTGCCATAGACTCTTGTGGAGAGGGCTTGAAACAGAGAAACCACCAAAAACTTACTGTGTAACGGCAGTAAATTTTGGCGACAAGCCATCATCCACCATAGCTATCGCAGCATTACGAAAAACAGCGGAAGTGAGTAGAGAGAAAGCTCCTGAAGCTGCAGATACTATACTAAACAACGTCTACATGGATGACGTGTTGCAGTGTGTAGAGACAAGAGAAATGGCTGAAAGGCTGACAAAGGAAGTGGATTGTCTGCTAAAACCTGGAAACTTTTGTATAAAGAAGTGGATAATATCTGGAGAGGAGGTGGTGGGGAAAAGCAAGACCGATCTTTGGAGACGAAGAAGGTATTAGGGATCTGTTGGAAGCCGAAAGAAGACCTATTAACCTTTCAAGGAAACTTCAGTATGTTTCATGACGTTCCTCAACCGCTTACAAAGAGGATTTGTTTGAGCAAAATTAATGCAGTGTATGATCCATTGGGTCTATTGACGCCAGTGACTGTGAGAGCCAAGATTCTACTAAGGAAGTTATCGGGTGAAGGTCTTGCGTGGGATGAGCCAATTAAAGATGAATATCAACGAGAGTGGTTTAAATTGTTTAGTGACCTGGAAGACAGTGCAGGAATAATGTTTAAACGGTGTGTCAAGCCAGTGGCAGCTAAGCCAGGAGCAGACCCCACACTAGTGATGTTCTCTGATGCATCAGAGAAAGCTATGGGAGCTGTTGCATACATAAGGTACGAAGTGCAAGATGGAAGATATGAGTCCCATTTGATGGCTTCCAAAAGTAGAGTTGCGCCGATAGAAATTACAAGCATTGTTCGACTAGAATTAAGTGCAGCAGTCTTGAGCAAACGTTTGGCAAAAACAATAATGGAGGAAACCAACATTTGCTTTCAAAGAGTATTTTATATCGTAGACAGCATGATTGTCCGTGCCATGATCCAGAAACAGAGTTATGGATTTAAGACCTTCGCGGCAACGCGCATCGGTGAAATCCAAAGACACACAGACCCCCAAGATTGGTTTTGGATTGCAGGGAAGATAATGTGGCGGACATTATATCAAGAGGTACTGATCCTAGTGAGTTAAAGGAGATGAAAGCATGGCAATGTGGCCCAGAGTTTTTAAAATGGTCCGTAGAGGAGTGGCCAACCTCTCAGAGTTGTGGAAATCAGGAACTCCCAGAAAGAGTTAAAGTAGTGCTGGCTGCCGATGTTGAACCAGTAGTCACACTGACAAGCCTTTTGAATCCAAAGAAAGTTGGTGATTGTCACAAACTAATGAGAGTGACTGCCAGAGTTGTAAAGGTATGCAGTAGAAGGAGCTTGAAAGCGTTGGTGGACGACCTGTCAGTAGAGGATTTGAAGAAAGCAGAGTGTTTGTGGGTTAAATAGCTTCAAAAGCCCATGTTAGCACTACTAAGAGAAAACAAGTCAGAATTTGACAAAAAGTATGCCACATTGGGCCCCAGACTGAGAGAAGACAAGGTTATAGTAGTAGGCGATAGAATCAAGAACCACGTACATTTTAGTTACAATCATGAAACTGTACCGTTGTTGCCATGTGATCATCCTGTTACCAGATTAATAGTTGAAAACGTACACGCTAAAGGACACACAGGGATATCAGCAACAGTTGTGAAAGTAAGATCACACTACTGGGTGATTAGATTGAGGCAACTAGTGAAGCGTGTAAAGCATGATTGCATCCCATGTAGGAGATTTGAGAAGGAAGCGGCGGGGCAGCAAATGGCGACCCTCCCCATCCACAGGTTGAAGCCATCTCCACCATGGGCTTACATCGGGATCGATTTATTTGGGCCATTTGTGGTTAGAGGAGAAGTGCAAAAGAGAACCAGAGGCAAAGCCTATGGAGTCATTAATTGTCTCGTCACACGAGCAATTCATTTGGATATAGCATCAGACTACAGCACAGAAGCATTCTTACAAGTGTTCCGCAGGTTTGTGTCGGTAAGAGGATATCCTAAAGAAGTCTATACCGATTGTGGTACGCAGCTCAGTGCTGCTGACAAAGCTTTGAAGAGCTTCGGGGGCGAGCAGGGAGTCAAATGGAAATTTACAACGCCCAACGCACCTTGGCAAAATGGTGTGACCGAGAATTTGTTGGGAGGGGTAAAGAAATCTCTGTTCCATACTATGGGGGAACAAGTCTTATCTATGACGGAACTACAGAAAGTGATGCTTGAGATTTCAAACTTGCTAAATGATAGGCCTCTCGGAAAGCATCCTGACAATCCGGATGAAGGAAAATACTTGTGTCCGAATGACTTGCTACTTGGCAGATCATCGACCAAAGTGCCAGATGGTCCATGGTGTGGACAGGTCGGACCGAAGCAAAGGATACAGTTCATACAGAGTCTTGTAAATAACTTTTGGAAAAAGTGGACAGCAAACTACTTTACAACACTAATCATACGGAAGAAGTGGCATGTTGAAAAACGGAACTTGAAAATAAACGATGTTGTACTAGTGCAGGACAGCAATGTCTACCGAGGAAAATGGAAAATGGGGATTGTTACATCGACGTATCCTGATGAGCAAGGACAAGTGAGAAATGTGGAAGTTAGAACGGTGACTGAAACTGGAGTTATTGTGATGATCAAACGTGCTGCCCAGAGACTTGTAGTGTTGATACCAGTCGAGGAACAATGAACGTTAGGAAATAATGAGAACTGTGATTGTGTTAGAATGTAATAATATGATTGATTAGAAATGACATTTGTGTTATTCGGGTTTGGTGGGGGGAGTGTTTTATTTAGTAATGAAAATAATTACGAGAGTGCGCCCTCTGTAAAGAGGTTGCACATAGTCACGTCCAGAGCATACTTGAATTGCAAAGTTTAGCTGAGAATAGGTTCAATTTCGTTGATTGTTTTGTTGATTTGAGAGACCAGAATGTAAGTAATTATATGATGTTAATGCTAATAATATAGAGAATAATATTATGGATGATTGGAATAGGCCTTAAATAATTTAGTTGGAATTTACAATTTGCATGAGAAGGATTAGGCCTAGCGTAAAACATGAGATGCGGAGACAAAACGCCGATAGGCAGGATATAGGCCTGTGTGTAGTAAATGGCAGTATATTAATTGACGTGATAACTCTCAGAGATGATTTATTCTTATTGTTATTGTTTGGGAAGTTGGAGTTAATGTCCAAGTACTGTTGAAAATATTAGATTTGATATGAATGACTCCAGATAGATGTATGAATGGTTATCATTATTATAGGAAATGTTTAGATTTGTACTGTAACGTAATAGTAATACTTAGCTACGATCTATCGCGAGTGTAAAATGGCTAGCAGAGGCTCTGTTGGCAACGGGTACTTGTTGCTAGGCTGTCACGCTTGATTGAACATGTCAATTAATTTGAGTAGGCGTTAACCTTATAGTAATTCCCGATTGATGTGAGTTAATATTGTCTTTCTTATTATTTGTTTGCAGTTTTCGAACGTCGTTTGAAATAAACGTCATTATTATTATAAATCAAAAAAGAGTGAGCCTGAGTATTTGAGTATCGACGAAACATTTATCTACCATTTATAGCCATTACTGTACACATCTTTCAATTAATATTTGCTAGTTGACCTAATTATATAAGGCATAAAATTGAATTGTTTGTTTGCCCTTCTTTTTTTTAATGATAAAAAGTGGCGGGTAGATTTTGATTTTTTTTTTAAGATACTCATTAGATGGGATAAAACCCACAGAGGCCTAAAATGGCAATTTTTTGGCCCCTATTTCTTTCAGTGAGTTAGGAGTGGGTGAGGAGGGCAAACAAACGCACAGTACAAAACGGACATGATACATAATGAGAATAAGTCAATTTAGGTACTCTGCAGTATATATACTTTATTGCCGGAATGTCGGTGAATATTGCATTACAAAATAAGTTTCAACATAAGTAGGCCTAATGGTCTACTTTATCGTCACTGTCCTTGCACGTTTAACCCACCTACGTTCAGTAATCGTCTAAACAATGAATGGAACATGATATATGATTGACTTAAGAGTTTCTATTATTAGGTGAAAAGCTGCAGGCATAATCTTGACGTTGATCTAGATTTAGGTGATTATATAATTGGTAATCCAGGACACTGATTACGGTACCGCACAAGATAGAATGGACTTAATTTTCACTAAACTACGATTTAATCGGTGACCTATTAAATTTGCTTCGTGATGTTCCTGTTGCTGATTAGTCTATGCAAGATTATTTTTATTGAAACTAAGCACACGTGAGTCTTATTACGTGGCACGTAACAAGAGTTTAAATTTGTCGGAAAATCAAAAATATATTTATATTTTTCTACTCGAATATTTTAATCGTCTGCCATTCTTCATTTATGGTTTGAACTATCAATTAGCATAAACACTGAGGACCTATACTTGATAAAATAACAATAATGGCTTATGCAGCTGCAGGGCTGATATATGTCAATAAACTAGAATACTGTACAATCGACAAATTTATCTACATAACATACAATAATAAAATTAAGTGGTTCCGATTCGAGTAGTTAATTGATGAGAATAAAAATGTATAAATAAAACAATTTTATTTTTGTAATCTTGAATCTATTTGTTTATATTCTACCCTTAACCCAATGGAATTATTTTTGACTTCGGATAAATTTGTCGTACTGAATCTTATTCATTTATATATCTATATGTATAAGTTTTTTTTCTTTGTTATTCTTTATATTAATACAGAAAATCTCCTTTCCTCAATTGTTGTACACTTGATACAAATCCAATAGGCCTACCAATTTTCTTTGTTATTCTTTATATTAATGAAGAAAATCTCCTTTCCTCAATTGTTTTACACTTGATACAAATCCAATAGGCCTACCAAATGGAATGAACTCTGAACTAATAATTTTATCTTCCGTGGGAGTCACACCCACATTTATTTTGTCAGTATGGCTCTAGTTTTCCCATCCCAGCAGTTTCCGGCTATCTATAATGCTGCGCCCTATAGTTAAACCCATAAATACTTAGGGCCCCTGTCGGACACCTTAGCCCCCTCCACCATAAATTATATCCTAGAGCCGCCACTGCTTAGAAGCTCCACCCCAGACATGAGAACAGTACTGAATTTGGGGATGGATCTGGCACTTGTATAGGGTTAGGATATGACCGGGAGAAAAATATTTACGAGCACACAGGAAAGAAAGTCGAGCTTCTGTGACACTTATTTGGTCAGGCACTTAATATGAAAATTCCAGTTGAGACCTGGAAAAATGTTAATCCCAAGTTGTGTAAGGATGTGATGTGATGTCTTCATTCATCTCCACAGTAGGATAGGCTTTATTCCGTTTTCGTGAAAGAACATTTTGTCTGTCTTGTTTATGCTGAACTTGATTAGAATGTTGGATCTACACCTTGGGGCTTAGTCTAATCCCTGTCTCTTATACACATCTAGATGTGTATAAGAGACAGGTATATATACTGTATATATACTGTAAATAAAAACTCTTTATATTAATGCAGAAAATCTCCTTTCCTCAATTGTTTTACACTTGATACAAATCCAATAGGCCTACCAAATGGAATGAACTCTGAACTAATAATTTTATCTTCCGTGGGAGTCACACCCACATTTATTTTGTCAGTATGTATTTTTAAATTTTCCATTTTTATAACAGATACATAATTGAAATAGGTATACGGCCTATTACATTAACATATAATAATAATAATAATAATATAGCATAATAATAATAAATAAAAATAATTATTCTTAATATTATTATCATGTGTAATAAATAGTGCAATTTTGTATATTAAATATTACTATTAACAAAACATATTTTTCATTTTTATTATATACAATTGTTAAGTTAATTAGACTTCACGTGGAGTGCCTTAAATACTTTAGAAGTCTCTCGATTATAATTATAAATTATTGAGCTTACACTCCCAATGATACGGTGTATCAAAACCAACAAAATTACATTAAGAAGCACAAACACAATATTTGAAAGAACCTTCCTTTCATTTTTTATCTATTTATTTACCCATCTAGATGTGTATAAGAGACAGGCTCAGGGATAAAATCTCTTGTCATCCGCAGATCCCAGCAAAGAAGATAACAAACAGTGAAACATTTCATTAAAAAAAAAAAAACAAACAAAAAAACAAAACAAAACAAAAACAAAAACAAAAAACATTGAAACACAAAAAGCGGTGCTACTGCCATTTATTTATTTATTTTCATAGAAAACATCTCAAAATACGATCTTTAAAAACATTATTCATAAGAAGTTAACTAGATTTGTCTCTGGGCTAAAACATAACTACAGGATCAATACAAATAAAAAAAAATAAAAATAAAAATAATAAGAGTCAAAAACACATAACTATAAAAAATACAAAGCAGATAGAGTAATAAATACAGTTATTGTAGAATAATAGGCCTATACATACAATAGGCATACACGCAGGATGAAATGTAACGTACTGTACGTAGTGAATGTTGTAGAGGTCAAGGTTGAACGCGTTTCTGGAGACGTGAATGAGTTACAGAACCTCAATGTCACCGCATTACCTTCCGAAGCACGGAAGAAAAACCTGTTAAAAAAATCATTTTTACCATATTTTGGTATAATTACCGTACTAAAAGTTGGTTTCTATGATTATTAAGTAGTTTTCTACTCTCGTGTGGTAATATTTTTATCAATTTTGCACCCGTGTGGTCGCGAGTGGCTCCGTGTGGTATTTAGTAGGACCGGTCTACTTGTTTGACAAGGTAAAGAAAGCAGAGAGGTAGATACCGACGAGGTCCAATTACCAAATATGAGCATGCGCAATAAACCTTCTTATGCTTGTGACGAAGAATTTAACGCTTGAGTAAACTTGTCATACTACGCTTTTTTGACAAACCAGGGAATGACCTGAGAATCAGCGATTATAGTCGCCAAACAGTAGGAAAGCCACTGGAAAAATCGTGTCAAATTTCGCCTAGGAGAGGGCGCCCTATTTTTCGAAATTAATTTAAATTATCGAAATTTGGTAGTGTTTGAAAAAACGTTAATTCATCAAACAACTTAACAAAACAAAAATAATGGTGAAATATGTTTATAAATAGTTTAACAATACAGTGGAATACTTTTGTTTTGGTGTATTTTGACCGAAACGATAAAGTGTAATTTAATGGACAATTCGTGGTACACAATTTTTACGATTTTGTGCCCTAGAAAATCGTTAATTTAGAATACAAAAAAAAATTTATCAGAAATGAATTCAAAATCCCTGCTATAAAAATTTTTAATCTATAATTTAGGATATTAAGATAACAAATTGAGTAGCTGGGACGCAAATCCGAATCTGGAAACTAAGGGTACCGCCATTTCGTTGGACTCAAACAGTAGCGTGTATCCCATTTTGGAATCATAATCAGGAAGATCGTATTTATACAGAGCATTTCCAAGACCGTCTGTTACACCAATAATTAATATGTGTGAAATAAATATATACCATTAAAATGAATATTATTACATATTTAGTGTTCCAACTTAGTAATTTATAGATAATATTTCTGTTGGTTTCTATTACGATTCGTATGCGAGGCTGAGGCCTAGGCCGCGCACATTGGGGCCTAGCATATTCGGGTACTCGTAAATATGCAGCGAGGATAATGCCTATT